CAAGAATTTACCATCTGGCAAGCAATTCCTTTGTCACTATCACAAAAGGTAGCAGCCTAAGACCAAAATAGGGTCCACCGCTATTATATTTCAACCACGAATATGCCTCTTTGAAGGAAAAATAATTTTACGGAACAAATTTCATTGCAGATCCATTGAAACCAACTTTCACTTCTTTTGGTCCAGCGCTATCACACACATCAGGTTACATAATCTCAGGAATTTCAGAAGAACAATCATTTCAAGATCTGCAAAATGAGAGCAAAAAGAAATGAGGGTTACCTAAGTCTCTACTGCCTGTTTAAATTACAAGATATACATATTTCACTAAAGGATTCCTTTACATTTTTAGGTCTACATTTTTTATTTTAATTTTAAATTTCACGCTTAGCTGCCTCTGTAGTGAATAATGAAACTGCTGACCTCCTATGTGTTTTCTTAACCTTTTACAATGACCACCATCATTTTTGGCTGTAAAGTCCACTGGACACAGTTGAGAGAGGAATGCACCCTCCCGCATGGCATTAACCACACTGGGCTCTGGGCCAACTCGCTTCACCTGAGAACCATTAAAAGGCAATTGGCAATGTTCCAATGCAGCCTCAGCATCTGGTAAGTCACTGACAAGCATGATAATCTGTTTAAGATTTTTGTTTTTTTGGGGTCTTCACAGTTATTACGGCTTTGAAGGGAAAGTTAAGCACTCTGTGGAAAGCTGGGAGTGAACACATATCCCTGGAAAGCAAGTTATGTACAGTAATTCATCTTGAAGGCAATTTAAGGAGATTCTGCACAGACCCTGCACACATGCTGCCGGAAGACACACAACAAACATGATCGGGAGTGAGGAGAATATCTTCCCCAAGTCCTACTGCACATGTGCTGCACCAAGCCTTGCACAAATGCATGAGCACACATTGTGCACTTGGAAAAGGATCTGTGCAAATGGGAATCCTCAACAGTGAATTAAAGCAAGCACAACGATTGTTTACAATGCAATTATAGACAAAACTATTAAGGCCTACTCACATATGTGGCTGGAGGGGAAGTAAAAAGAGATGGCTTGGCTGCTGTTTTGCCACCGCCCCCCCCCCCCCATTTCTTGACCATCTCCTTTACCACAATGGCCAGAGGCAGAAATCTCTGATGTTTTGTATCACTGTATGCCCACATCCTAAATGATATACACAAACCACCAATTCTTTGTAGCAAAGGACTTTAAACGGCATTGACCCTAGGTTCACATATGTTGTTGGTGCCGCTGTGGTTCCGCACGAAAATCCATGCAGTTGCACCACCCTCACAGAGAAATGCGTTTTAATGGCACGCCGACCGCACTGGGAACACAACTGTACTGGGAACCTCTATTTTCCAAAGAAGGGCAGGGACTTCTTCCCTGTATGTCATGGGCATGGGAGTCCTTGAATGGGCTCTCGTGCCCGTGCAAAACACGGCCCGCACGGTCGCATAGATGTAAACCGGGGGTGAGACCTTGGCACCACATCATTTTTTTAAAATAAAGGCATAAAGATTTTTATACAAATATTAAAATATTTAACCACATAGCCAATACTTTAGTACATGGTTCACATATATTTTCCACATGAACTGCGAAATCACGTAAATATACGTGATTGTGCACACCCCTGCCGCCCTGTAGCAGTATTTATGCTATAGCACGGACGGGAAGAGGTTAAGGGGTTTAAATTTAGATGGGGTCTAGGGGTATATGAGATGCCCAAAGAACTGTAGAACTCGAGGACAAACTTTTTAGCAACTATGTACAAAAAGGGTGGACTGGCAAAAATAAAGCAAATATATCACTATCCTTTTCTTCGGTGTACCTGCTCAGACATTTGATGGATCCTCCTCCTCACTCAACTGTGCTAAGGGTATCCCTGAGCAAGGGGGGTCCCAAGAGCTTGAAGTTAAGTAGTCCCAGGTGAAGACTAATTGGGTATTACACCTGACCGCCCTATCCCCTTATCCGGCCCAGGGGATGTAGGAGTACTCACTCTGTCCTATCTTGTCAGTGTGGTGGGTTGGAAGCTGCTTTCAGGCCTTTCACTATGCTGTCCTCCCAAAGAGACATTGAGACAGTAGAGATCCTCCCATCCAGCATCCTGCCTGTAGGTAGGCTCCCCTCCTTGGGGCCCCTCCCATGTTCCACACTCCAGCTTTCCTGTCAACCCATCTTCCACCTGCCTCCACTCTCTTTCCAGGTTCTGTCATATTTCAGGGTTGCCCTGGTCATCATGCCCAGTCTCCTACCAGGGGATTGGTCAAGGTCCCTCAAACATGCAGACCTGGACTTCCTCCCCTCCTCCTCTTTTCTGTTCCAGAAAGTTCTCAAGTTTCTGGAAAGGTGGGAGGGCTCCAGAAGCCCTGACCTGCAGAACCTCTCAGCCTGAAGTGAACTCCTGCCTCATTCACAGGTTGACTCATCCCAGGCTGCTAATCAGCCTCTATCTAAAAAAAAGAAAACAACAATCTCTATCTAGCTAAGCTAGAGGGCATTATACAGTATATTCTTTTCTATTCTATTCTTTTCTATTCTATTCTATTTTATTCTATTCTTTTCTTTTTGAAATTCGAATTTCGGAGGACGGCTATATTCTAACACATCTTTGAAGGAAATCAACAATAGTCAGCAATATGTTTACATTTCAAATTTATTTTCAAATTCGATTTCATTTTCAAATAATTTCTATTTTGACTTGAATTCAGATAATTTGATATTTTGGACAAAGTTTTTTTGTTAATTTGGATTAGTTTAAATTTGTTACTATTGTATTTTGGAAACTCAAGTCTCCGAATAGCGAAAATTTTGTCCGAATTTCATTTTGGAACTAAACGAACCACACGTGTCTAAGAGAGATTTCCTCTGAACGCCAGTCCTGATGATGGATGTAAGAGAAAACCGCAAACTAGGGGAAATCTCTACAGAGACAAATTCAGCATTTAAGATCTGACAGAAGATCTAACTGTAGTGTTACCCCTGCAGGGGTCACTGATTTGAACTGTTTCTCCCTCAAACAGCACAGAGTTTACCAGCCACCCAAGCAACAGTCCATTCACTTTTACTCCCATAAACAGTCTAGTGGTTGTCTTTTTTGTGATTTACTGCTGATAAAACTTATAACAGGAGAGGGGTTGGGGCCATGGGACACCCCAAAAAATTCTTAGCAGTAGGAAGTGAACAGAGGACAGTCTTTCTAACAGTAGCAGTAATGGCTTATAGTGAACAGTCCAAAGCTCCACAGCTGAGGACCATGGTGCGAGTCTTTGGGCACCTGGTTACCCTGTGGCAGTGCGCAACTTTCAGTACTCAGTGCAGCATCCAACACAGAGTCTCAGGAATCAACTTAAAGTCACTATTCACAAGTCACCAACACAGCTGCCTCCTTCCAGCTTCATCTGGAAATTACCCAGTGAGTGAGATGGAGCCTCTTTGGACCAGATCCTTTGTGGTGTGGTTCTGCTGTCAGTGCTCAGCAAAATCCTTTTGAGCCGTTCATCCTGGCACCTCTGAGGCCTCCTATAGAAGCTGTTCAGTCAAGGGACGACCTAGCAGCAGCAGCAACCCCAGCACCTCTGGAACCCTCCTGGGGAGAAGGACCCCTGCTCTCCAGGGTCTCAGACTATTTATCTACATTCTGGCCTACTTCTGGACAGTTCCCCTCCAGCGATTCGGCAGAGGCCGATACATATTCAGGCTGGCCAATTTGAATCTCCCGCCTAAAGCTTTGGAAGCTTCTTCCATAGGCAGGAGGAAGCAATCAAACTCCTAGCCCATGAGACCCTGAAATGACCAGGACAAACAACTAATGCTTTCTTGGTTACAGAAGAAGCCAAAGCAAATTTTGCCTAGCAGCCTACACTAGGAGGGTGCTACATAACTGTTCTCCATTCCACCTATGACTTAAAGTGTAAGTTCGGGCTAAACTTAACTAAGGCTAAGCATACTCCCACCTCCTTTCTAAGCCTATTCTATCTAACCCTGTAAAGAAAGGTTCTGTATACTTACCTATTCTGAAGTCACTCTGGTCTGGTCACATGGTCTCTCCAGTGGTGGCTTCCATGTGCAGTAGCAATTGTAGCAAACAATGGCTGGAAATGCATAGGAGATGACATCACCCATAGCATTACTATGGGGCATCCGTTGCTGGTTGCCCCTCCTGTACATAGAAACCACCACTGACAGCTAATCCTGGGGCCGAACCAGAGCAACTCCAGAATAGGTAAGTATACACACCTTTTCTTTAGAAAAGGTTTAAAATGGAGGTGGGAGTAGGCTTAGCCTTAATTAGGTGTTGCCTGAACTTCCACTTTAAAAAAACAAATATGTTATAAGCAAATATGGCTGCCCCCATGTACCTATATAATTGAAAAATTATACATTGAAATAACATTTTAAACTTTAACACACACATTGATGGGATGATTTGCATCGAGCGGATCTCTTTCGCCTGTTTTATAAACATTGAAAGCCTATACATTACAAATATCGAATCTCCTTAGCATTACACACAGCTTTGTGTAGAAAGATATGTAATGTAAGGTACTCTTAGGATGGAAATCATGCAAGAACTTTTAATTATTGGATTATAATTGCACTTTCCAAATCATTTACCTAATAGGTGTAATTAGCCGCATTAGAGGAAATCCCAACCAAAGTGATAATATTTCATTCCAGACAGCATTGTTTAAATATATCAAAAGTGGGTTTTGGACATTTGATAATAAAATGTACGTGCTTTTATTATGATTGAATATAAACTGTACCTTAAAGCCCAACTCCAGCCGAAACGTTTTATTTCACTTTGGATAAAGCTGGGGAGGATTAGAGCCTCTATTAGATTTTATTGATTGGTGTGTTGGGAGGAAAGCACCAAAAACAAAGCACAAGTCTGGAACAGGGGCGGCCTGACCATTTGGAAACTCGGGCACTGCCTGAGGGCCCAGGGTCAGTAGGGGCCCCCATGGGATGCCCCTGGTACCATTTTTATAGGCTTTTTTGAGTTTGGGCAAGGAGACAGGGGCCCCATGATCCCCTATTGCCTGGGGGCCCCATGAGTTGCCAGTCCGCCCCTGGTCTGGAAATTATTTTATAAAAAGATAATATGTTTTCATAGTTCAGAGAGCCTGTCCTTCCTTCATCAGGGCTAAAGAAAGTATGCTGTAAGCCTTTGCACACTTTTTGTTTTGAGGGCCCTGTTTAATTGGTCTATAATCCAGAGGGTTTACCTCCCTTCTTGACCAGGCCATTTTTTACGTTACGGAGCTACGTTCCTTTAACTGACAATTGCGCAGTCATGCAACACTGCACCCAAATTAAATTTACATGCTTTTTCCCCCACAAATAGAGCTTTCTTTTGGTGGTATTTGATCGCCTGTGCAGTTTTTATTTTTTGCGCTATAAAAAAAAGACCGATAATTTTGATAAAAAAGCTATATTTTTGACTTTTTGCTATTAAACATGTGCAGTAAAAAAAAATTTAAAAAAATCGAATTTCGTCAGAAATTTAGGCCAAAATGTATTTTGCTACATGTGTTTGCTAAAAAAAAATCCCAATACGTGTAAATTAATTGGTTTACATGAAAGTAATAGAATTTAGAAATGGCGGTATAAACGCTGATTTTTTTTAATTATTATTTTTACTAGTAATGGCGGTGATCAGCGACTTATAGCGGGACTGCAGCGGGCATTCTGACACGGGGGGGGGAAATGACTTGTCACTGACATCCCTAGTGACACCAATACAGTGATCAGTGCTATCAAAAAGCACTGACACTGTACTAATGGCACTAGGCAGGAAGGGGTTGACACGTAGGGCGATCAAAGGGTTAACTGTGTGCCGTTTTAAATTGTGTCCTGTGTGTGTGCTGCACTATAAGCACACTGCTTTGCATGGCTGTGCTATGTAGTGTGCAGGAGCTGACAGGGGAGAGAATGGTATTGTTTACAAACAGTTCTCCCCCCCCCCCCCCCCCCCGGTTGGAGATGCTCGGCGATCACCGGGTGCCAGAGAGTGATCACTGGCTGGGACCTGGTGATTGACAGCCAAGGCCGCAAATGGCAGTGCGGGAAGGGCCCCCTATCTGGAAATGTAAAATCACGTAACTATATGTGATTTTACACACCCGTGCTGCCCTGTAGTAGTATTTCTGCTATAGGGCGGATGGGAAGTAGTTAAAGTATATGTAAACCCCCACCTTGTAAAACAACCCATTCAGTTTAACACGATTGCCGCCCACCCATAGTACATGTACTGAGAGCGAGCGGCAGCTACAGGCTAGGCAACGTACTTTACTGCCTGTCTTTTCGGGCATGCATGCATGCACCCCTTGCTAACCCATGCTGTGATTAGATACAATATGTGTTTGGCAGCAGGTTTCAACCAATGATTTTGGCTGTACACATGCTGATCAGGTGTGTCCAATCACAGCACAGAGTTCTGTGTTTACAAACACACAGAACTCTATACACAGATCTGCAATCTGGCTGTTTCTTTTCCCTGAAAAACACAGAGAAAAACAGACAGATCTGTGAGTAAAAGCAGCACATGTTACACATATTACACTTGTTAGGCACACAGTTAACCCCTTGATATTAACCACTTCCCAGCCAGTGTCATAAGTACAGTGTACAATATTATATCTGATCACTGTATTACTGTGTCTCTAGCGACATCAGTGTCAGTCTGTCAGTTAGTGTCCCTCTCAGGCAATGTCTGTTAGTGCCCAATTGCCCGCCACACTATTCCCGTCCCCTTATAAGTCTCTGATCTCCACCATTGCTAGTATAGCGTATGTAGCTACATTTCAGTATGTATTAAAAATATATAAGATAAAAACCAGCCTATATCCCTGTGCTCAAGAAATGGTGAAAATATTGGTTTACGAAAATAAAATAAAAATGATTAAACCAGTCATAAATATTTAAACCAAGCTGCCGTTTTAAATAACAAAAAAATCTATAAACAGTGACTTAAAAAAGTACACATAAACAGCGATATGTCAAAACACAATGTTCAATTGATATAAAAAGATAAAGGAAAGAAAAAACTTGCACCCAAAAAAATATAAAATAAAATTATAATGTGAAAAGTTCAATTTATTCCAGTGGTAAGTGTCTCTTTAAGATAAAGTGATCCACCATCCATGTGCTCCTGCACTGATTAAAACCCCACTGGATTCAACATTCACCAGAAGCTGGTGACTAACAATCAGTGGAAAATTAGTAGGAATTCAATCAATCTCCTTAAAAATGAATGGTTGTGAAATCTCGAACTTGATAATCAGCCAGCAGCCCAAAAGGACCTCCAATCAATCGATTATTAGTATCTCATACTCTGATCTCCTCCTCATTCAGATTGAGAAATATTAATTCCATATGTGGGCAAAATAAAACAGCCACTTAGCGTGATACCGTAAAAACAATAATTTATTGCCATAGAAAACCCCCCTTCAGAAAAGCACTCACATTGAGTAACATGGTAATGCACATTGTACATATACTTCCAATAAAATGGCCGCCGACCACAGCAGCTAGTGACATTCTCACCGCACACTGGTAACTAAGATCTTAAAACAACGATCACGTGGTCCCGGCATTTGTGCAGACGTCACGGATGGTCACGGATGGTCACGCCCTGACGCATTTTGTCATATCAAACTTCCTCTGAGGCTGTGCTCAGAGGACGTCGGATATGACAAAACGTGTCAGGACCACGTGGCGAGAGCATGTGATCATTGTTTTAAGATCTTAGTAGAATATGAAAAGTTGGGTTTACATATGCTTTAAATCTGCAGTTTTCATTAAGATAATTCCTGATGCTCCTGAATTGAGGGTCCTTCTTCAGGTATTTCCTTTTATAGAGTGACAAATGTCTACCAACTGCACTGTTGTCACCCTGTCACCTGCGTTCCTGTTGGATTCTACAAGCATCTGTGTTGACGCACATGCACATGCATGGTCTACCGTTGTCACTCACTGAAGCTATTCCAGAGTAATGATTTGCAGCCAACACACTGGAGCTCATGTAGACATGAAGTGGCTGGAAGAGGCTGGAGGAGAACAGCAACACTGAGATGCAACAAAAGATGAAAAAAGATGGAAACAGTAAGAAAAAAATATGGCAGTTGTTTATGATACAATGCGGTCAATTCACTAAGAGTTAAATAACGACTGAAAAAATGCGGTAAAAATAACAAATGCAGTACATTTTTTGCAAATTCACTAAGAATGTTGCGGTAAATAACTTATGCAGTAAAATATTGGTATTGCAGTAATTACTGCATATTTTTGTGCTATAATTTATCACACGGTAGCTGATTGTTAAGATGTCATGATTTGCCACAAAATGCAAAATTGTCTTCAAATTTATAAAATTTTTTTAATTTTTGGTATTTTTTTTTATATTATGGGTTTTTAACCAAATTTAAAGTCCAAATTACTATTAATTAATTCACATAAGTGCATTTAAGATATAAAATGCCAAAAAAAACCTTAAAGGGGTTGTCCGAGTTATGTAAAAAAAAAATATAGCACTGTAAATCTGATGGTCGTCATCAGGTTCTTGGTTCTAGGCTGTTCACACTTTTTCATCGCAGTTCGCGTTAGCTCGTCATTCTTCAACCGTTATGTTATGGCTCCACAAAAGTGTATTAATTCGCCAGACAGTTTCTGTTTCATCTGTGATAAATATACAGGGTTGAAGCAACAGCAGAATATTACAGACTTTGTGAAAAAAGTATACTTAGCATACTTTCGACTAAAAATTGGAGATCAAAATAAAGTTTGGGCGCCTCATAAAGTGTGCAAATGGTGTGTTGAGGACCTCCGAAACTGGTTCAAGGGTAAGACTTATCATCTGTCAGCGGGTGTCCCACTGACAACTGATTGAAAAGAAAACATGTCAGCAATTAGGCTCCGTTCACACCAATGCGTTTTTTAGTGCTTTTTGCAGAAACTCACTACAGTCCATTTAACATGGTTTCCTATGGGACATGTTCACATCTATGCTTTTCTAAGCTGCTGCGTCTTTGGAAAGGGTCAGGAAGTTTTTTAAAAGCAAAAAGCAGCATTTTTGCTACAATAGAGATCAATGGAGAATTTGCTTTAATGCATGATAGTACGTTTTTGCCGAGTTTTTGCATTTTTATTTTGCCCAGCAAAAAAAAAAAATGCACTTAAAAAAAAAAAAAAAAAAGCTGAACAAAGCACAAACCGTAGAAAAACGGAAAACGAACTGCAAAAAGCACCGCAAAACGGACATAAAGCAAACTGCATAGGTGTGAACGGAGCCTTACAAAAGGAAAAACTGTGTGGTCCAGCCCCCCCCCCCCCATCCCATCCAGGCCCTTTGGTTCTGGTATGGATTTTAGGGATAAAACCCACACCAAAAAAAAAAAGAAAAAGATGGCCCTTAAGTCTGGTATGGATTTTGGAGGAACCCCACACCAAAATAAAATTAAAAAAAAAAAAAAAAAAAAATGGTGTGCGGGTCCGCTCACAATCCTAAGGGATTTTGGGGCTAGTATGGATCTTGGGGTGACCCCACACTGTTTTTCTTTAAATTTTGGAGTGGGTTTCCCTTTAATATCCATTTCAGACTCCTAGGGGTTGGTGGGGACCCCCTCGCTGCATATGAAAAAATATCACATGTGATACCACCAGCAAAACCCTGTTGATAAATATTGCATCATTTTTTACTTTCTGTTTGTGAATTGGACTTAACAGCTTACCGCATGATTTTTTTTTTGTTGATATTTACTGACATATTTTTAATTTTGTGTTAAATACCGCTGAAACGTTATTTTATTTTTTTTGTGAATTGGACATTTTGTTACCGCATGCGATCATTTATGTAAATGAGCAAGGGAGAATATAACCAGCACACCACTCACAGCAGGTCACATGACAGTTGTATATCAGAGTACCCCCGGCCCCCATTTGACGGTGTACCATGCAATGGATGACTTCATTCATGCCATCCATTGTATACTACTGCCTAGCTGTGAATGGTCACAGCTAATCACATGCACATGTCATGTGATTAGCTGTGGCC